ACCAAACATAAGTCTATCACTAGGGTTACTATCTGTTTGGGGGGGGGGTCATTTGAGATGGCGCAAAAGCGAAATAGACTTCATGGGATTCTAGGTAGATGGTCTTATTATTAAAATATGCAGCGGCATCTCTTCAATTTTTTAAACAAGAGCGTACACAAATATAATGTTTAATCTTTATATGGCTGTTTTTTTCCATTGAAGGTTGCGAACGTGATCGTTGACCAGAACAGCATGCGGATGCCGGTGCTAAAGGAAAAATTCTACGATTTGGTCTCAGATACTGCTTTAAACCTGTCAGAACTATCCGAGGAGATGTTGAAGTCTTGCTCCGTGACAAACGAAATCTTGATTAAGTACGTGTTACTTTACACCACATAGTACAATATGGTTTGAACTCCAGGTACGATGGATCAGGAATTAAAGTGAAGTGCGAATCGAATGAGGTCAAGTCTGCCGATTCACCGCATGAAAAAGAACCTGTGGAAGAAGCCGACGAAGAACCTGATTCGGTTATGATAATGGAACACAAAGACTCGGTTAAATTATGAAAATGGGAAGCTTGAACTTCGCACATGACGCAGTTACGATATACAAGTCGTTGCTCAGTTTAACATGCCGAAATTTGCTCTGTAACGTTACTATTGAAATGCGGTAATTAAGCGTGTCTATGGTTAAGATATGACTGGCAGTAAACATTGTTAAGAGATACTATGCCTATTATCTGTTGACAGTCTGCTGAAAGGAATGATTTTAAGTGACACAGGCTACTTCCTAGCCATCGTAATTATTTCCAGTGATGGGCAAGTAAAAAGCTGTCAATCTAGCAGTTGCAAAGTGAATGTTTCCAATTGATTTCAGTCCTCAGTCGTGTGGTGAAGTGCATAATCAGTTTCTGGGTCAAACTAAAGGGAGAAAAACAGTACGAAGAGTTCATCTTCAAACTCGATAAGTACCAGATTCGAGTCAAAAATAGTTGCTACCCGCTAAATCCCATGAGCGATAGATTCACTCCAAACTGCATTGGTGCCAGCAGCTGAGAAATGATAGCAACTCGATCACTTGCGAACAGTAGGGGACAGCATGGATATCTGATGTGGTCATGCCGGAATGAGTGACACGTGCAGCAACGCTATTTGATTCTAGTGCTTATTAGGGCTGCAACTGGTCGTAGCTACTTCAATTGCTAACTATTCTTATGATTATTAGCACGAGGTACAATTTACTACATTTTTATCGAAGGATTTATTCATTATGTACTGAATGATGGCTTTTGGAGGGTGCTAAACAGCAGTGAACACCCAAATATTACTGAAAAATTAAATTGCAATATTGCAGGCGTCAAGGTTTAGCGCATTGTCGTTTGCAGTTAAGGAACCTTAGGAAAGATTCTGCTTTTTCATCATCATCTAGGGATGAGGCCTCGGAGTTTTAACAGAGGTTTATAATGTTTGACAGTTAAAACTAATACTTCAAAGTGATATTAAGCAACGTTTACATCGACAAAATTTGTATTCCTTTTCAAAGTCACGTCTGCCTCAACGACGTGCTCCTATGTTTTGTATTGTCGTTCAACGCGTCTGTGGCCAGAGCACCGTTTCCAAGCGAGAAATAAGTTTTTATTCTCTTCATAAGCTGTTTCATCATTCCAAACTAGGCCCTTTTGTCTGAGCTCATCGGACAGTTTTCTCGAACTGATGGTTGCCAACACCTGCTCGTTCATGATTAGTGACCCGGTGATACCGTCTTTCTTTGACGATACTGTGCATATAGCATTGTTCCAAGCTTCCTAAGGAAAAACTTTACTTTACCTGTGCAGATGTATATGAGAGCTTAAGCACTTGCTCAAAGAACCAGTGAAGATTAACATGTTGACGGACAACCGAGATGAAATTATTTTGATCACAGTTTACGTTCATATGCTTTCTCCATTGAGATGTCCCAGAGGATTGAACTATCTATGTATTTAAAGGTACTAAGTCTCCTACCTAGACCGGAAACAACACTGAGTAAAATAATAAACAGTTGCAAATGTTGCAATTCTGGGCATATGACCGATTGCTAATTTGCACTCAAACCATTTACCTAGCACAAATAATGATTAGTTCTCCTACAAGGAAAAAGATGCGAAACACGTACAATTATTCTCTGTGATTCATGTAAATCTGATAAGATTGTTTATGCCACCCTTTTTATTGACCTTGAACAACCGTTTGACGCGTCCATGCCATTTGCTCCTGTCATAAAATCCACACGTATATTTGACACAGATGCATGCAGGAACCGCTTGGTTTTAATTGTGATAATGCGCCGGCGTTTTAAGGATGAGGCATTGATATACCTTCCAGTTCAA